AGACGCAGGTTATGTGGTAGTTGTGGAACCATCTGCTCTCTGCACGACTGCACGCGTCGAATATTACCGAACGTAACCGAAATGTACCGAAGTCATTGGTTTGTCGTAGTACCCCCCTCACCTCGATTTCGCTACCCCCCTCGCCTATCTAACCCGCAAATGCTCCGTCCATGTATTCCTACGTCAATGCTCTAACCAGTACCAGGCTGTATAGCCCCTCATGGGGGGAAGGGGGGGGCGGTAGCCATTTTAGAAAAAGAAGAGATCTTGTTCAACTCAGTTCAACTTGTGAATTTGTCTGGCTTTTCCTTGCTCGTCCCGTAGTTCCCGTATTATTTGAAAACATAACCTGATTTGTTCCCACAGATTTAGAAATCTGTGACTGTTCCCCGCGTTCCCCGTAACGTCACGTCAAAGTAGCGAAACGATATATGGTAGAAATCGATATTGATTCTTCAGTATATATATTCGAACGGAATTTACTGTATATCAGCGAAAGCTGATACTTATGTCAATAACAATTCTTCTAATTTAGCAATTTTTATATATACACGTACATCAGTACGCCATCATGTCGGGCACAAAAGTAAGTTTAAGAATAATATATGTATTTTTGGCAATTCTTGCATATGAGTATTTGTGTCTGCTTGATAAATTATATCATGCACTGTTTTATTTTCTTGTTTTAGGAAATAACAGAGCTGCAAGCGTTTAAAACAGTCCTTTATCACAGTGTGGTAATACTCGCGCTACCTGTGATAGCGTTTTTTACAAGCAAAGTTTTCCTCTTTGATGGTATGAAATATATATATATCGCGGCATTGCTGTAATAGTGTCACATCTCGAAAATTGACAATTTTGAGTTATTCATCACCAGATAAAAGTACACATCAAAATCCATCTTTTTCAATGAATAATTCAAAATTGTCATTTTTTGAGATATGACACTATTGCAGCAATGCCACACATATATATATATATATATATATATACACATACATATACATATGTATGATAATATTACAATATAAATACTAGAGTAGCTTACAGTTATCGGATAACTTTAAAAAAAATTTTTTTTCCATGTACTTTTTTTATGGAACCTTAAAGTATTCTGCTCTTTTCAATGACTTAACTAATACAATTTTTTGTTTATGTTTAGGTCTATTAGGTCTCAACAATGTACCAAGTAACGTGTATTCGGCTGGCGTTGCAGTAATAGTGTTACATATTGCCTTAGGGGTTTTTATTTACAGAGCATACTTTGATGATCGATCAAGGATATCCGCAGTTAAGATAGATTAGTTTTTTATTATTAAGTACACCTTGGTGATCATACACTTGTGACATAATCACAGTCGACACATTTTGTCTCAAATAAATAATATTAAGTGACATTGAAAAGTAAAACTTTGATGTGTTACAATTATTATATTTTTCTTCATTTTCGCTTCAGTCAATAATTGATTAAGAGCCAGTTGTAATTCGTCAAAATTAATGATTAATATTATCTATGCTATGTGATTCATATGGAAATGAATTCTTACAAAGCAACTTACATTCCACAGCTTCTTCAAAAATCACATTTGCATTGCATATTTCAAGTGTACTGTTCGATGTCCATACAAATATTAAAATATTACATATTTCCATGTACAAACAAATGTACAGTGAATTATGCATTGTATAAAATATTTTTTGTCGATAAAACACATTATTTTTACCTGTATAATTTTATCTTCTTTTATAAAACGCAAATAATAATGGCAACACAAAGTAAGTAATCTTTATTTTATTAATAAGATAGGTGCCCATATTTCTTTCTTTTATATTTTTTGAAGATTTCAAATGTTGTATACTATAATTCATTTATTCAAATTTAAGTTTATAAAAAAATATTTTGAAATTATTTAAGAATCTATTACAAGATACATTTAAAATTATTAATATAGAATGAGTAATTGTTAATGAATAAAACTCAAAATTAGTAGTCATAATGTGGTTAAAAAACTGTTAACAAAACATTAAATTAAACAAAAATATTTTTAACTTATTTTGATACAATAAAGTTGCTTGATTTTTTTATTTGGAACGTAACAGCAAACAGAAGTCGTGAATATATATTACCTATCGGATGGAAACGTAACAATATAAGCTTTTACGAAAAGTTAAATGAAATTTATTAAAAATAATATCTAATTCATAACCCGATAGACTGAATATGACCAATAGATATATAAACGTAAAAAAATTAATGATTCTTGTGTTATAAAAACGTGTAAGAATCACAAATATAACTGCGTGAAACAAGAAAGTAATAGAAAAAACACATTGTATGTGATGAAAACTTTTATCATTCAAAAAAGTGAAGTATTTTTAACACTCACATTTTTTACATCTTGTTAATAGTAACTATACTATACATATGTAATAATTTGCGATTCTTAGTTGCTAAAAGCAATGTGGAAATAAAGTTAGGCGGAAGAATGAAATATGGACCGCCTATCTTGCTTATTCTAGGAACATAATTTTCGCTATAATGAATTTTTCTATGTGCTGTGAAGTAATATAGCAATATAAATATCGTGAGAGATAAAGAAATATACTATGTCATTGTGCAGATGCCTATAAATTATGTACAATGATATATCTAGTTCAATTACAATTCTCTAGGAAATGATTTTTACAAAAATGATTCAAATCCAATTGAAATTAAAAAAAAGGAATTGCAATAAATTCTTGTAACATTTTTGTAGATGTTAAGTCCCCAAATTAAAGCAGACTTAGCATAATTTCAGTTAGCGAAATATTAATTTATTTAAGTATCATAAATGCAACAAAAACATTTGTGACAGAGTATTTGCTGTCGGCCATGAGGAAAATGTTGGAATGAATAATTAATTGTATTATTAAATACATAAGATCGCCAGCGAAATTATCTAAAGTTCACAATTTATTTTGGTCAATTAGACTTAACTTAGCACTCATTCTATACATTAAAAGTCGCAACATATTAATTTTTTCTACTGGCAATTTTATTTCATAATCATTTTTAAATATCTATTCTGTATAATTCAGTTATGTGCATTTAGAAGCCTACTAAAAATCAAAAAAGAAAAAAAAATTTCTATATAAAGAAGCTTCAATAATTCGAGTTGATTATGCTTCAATTTGTTCAGATTATAATTTCATTTGCAATAATTATTACAAATGTCAGAACAAACTGCTTTTAAACAAAAGAATATTTCTTTCGCATAGTCCAGAAATTTAACAAATTTACATTATTTGTTTAATTTTTGCGCAATACGTTTATGCTGATAATAGTAGGATATATATCGCTCATTTGTTACATTAACAGCACAGTTAGAAAAACGAAGTTTTCCTGAAAATAAGTTTAAATGTTCTAATTTATTAAAATTCTGTAATATTTGTAACTTTAAAATGTAATTTCGATGTAACTAAAAAATAGAGGAAAAAAATGTTTTTTTTTAAGTATTTTCTTCCTTTTTTCTTAGTTTTGTTTGCAAGCTCCAAAATGAAAAATTTGGATTATGTCGTTGTAATAAATGAGCGATTTATGTCATTAAACAGATCAATTCATCAGATTAATAGATGTTACAGAGAAAATAGAGAAAAAAAACAAACAGAAAAACAATCGATGTGCAAATCACATGACAGGTGTTTTCGAGATGTAATAAACATGATTTATCCAAATGAAAAATATTCCCTATTTCAATTATAGTAGATTTAATATTATTAAAAACACATAAGAGTTGTGGTGACTGTTACTCAACATCCATTTTTTCTTCCTCTGCTTGTTGCTGCTGCTGCTGGTTGGATTGATTGTGATTGTTACTTTGGGTATTTTGATTATTTTTCTGTTCGTCAGCAGATTTGTCTTTCAGTTTTTCCTCTTTTGGCGGTTCTACTTTAGGTTTAGGCTTATTAAGAATAGGTAGTACCACACTGTCCAATGACTATGTGAACAATAAAAAAGTAAATTAAAAGGAAGTACGTTAAAAGAAAATTGCTTATATAAATTATAGCCGATTTTTTTTCAATGCTTACTTGTTTTTCGGCCCGAATCTGCGCCACAGTAACTGGTGGTTGTTGCGTGCGAAGTGTACTTGCAAGCAGAATACGTTTCTCCTCCAGCCATGTCCATTTCTCTTGTACAGTTTTCTCAACTGTTTTCACTTCTTCTTCCGTCAAATGAGAATATTTGTCATCCTTTCCATTTGACATTTTTATTTGATCTAGACTTTTTTTAGCCAGTTGTAACGCCACACCTAATTCTTCTAATGCGTACGATCTTCCTTCAAATTCTGATCTTCTTTCCTTTATTGGTTCCCCTTGGGACTAAAAAAAAACAAAAAAAAAACGGCGCATTAAAAAATTTATTTAAAAATTATAATTAAAAGAATTATTGAAAAATGAAAACAAGGAAAACTAGCATATAAATCGCAAAACAATCAATAAAATATTCTATGAAATTAATAATCATACCTTCAAGCGCGTCAATCGCTCCGAGTAAATTTGTCGTTGACAATCTTCCCCTTCTTCATAGAGCCAATCTTCAGTATCATTCAATGTGCGACATAACGCTTCTTTATCTATTTCTGTAATGAATGTAGCTAATTGATCCTCGTCGGACAATTTAGCACGCAGATCATAAACATATTCTTCCAAAGCATTACGCGCGTCAACTCGTTCTTTTTCCTGTTTATCTTCAGCAATCATTTTGCCCTATTCACGAACAAAATGCATGCAATTATATAATGATTCAATGTTATACCGACGAGTTTTTTCGCTATAATTGAAGACAAAATAATGCAACGTTCACATACAAGTTACATAATGTCTGAGATATACAGGGTGTCCCAAAAAGATCCGGACCTCAGAATATCTCAGAAAAAATAAATTTTACAGAAGTGTTTCAAACACAAGTTATAGAGTTTAAAAAGATCTATTTACTGATCTTATCGATTTGACCTTGGGCGGCGTCATTAAGATTAAATAAAGGTCATTAATTTTTTTAAATGGAACACGCTACTTTTGATTTCAGAATCTAACTGGTATCAAAAGCTTTTCAAAGCACTATAATAAAGTACTTTTTGGTTAAGTAAATCTCGAGTTATGAAGCTTGAAAGTTACAGTACCGCCGACATTAGTATTATCCAAGGTGTTTGAGCTAAAATCTTTTAAATGTTGTTCAGGATGATAATCTTGACAATGTCAAGGTCATGATTATTGGAATTCCTCTTTTTTTTTTCAAAAAATAATTTTTAAAAATAAAAATAAAAGGAACAACCTTTAATGACCTTGATCTTTACATCTTGGATAATGCTAATACCGACGGTACTGTTAACTTTCAAGCTTCATAACTCGGAATTTACTTAATCAAAAGATACTTTATTGCAGTACTTTGGAAAGTTCTTGACACTCTATTAGATTTTGGAATAAAAAAATTGAGTGTTCCATTAAAAAAAATTAATATGGCCTTTACTTGACCTTGGCGACGACATCCAAGGTCAAACTGATAAAATCAATAAATAGATCTTTTTAAACCTTACAACTTTTGTCTAAATCACTTTTCTGTAAAACTTATATTTTTCGAGATATTCTAAGATCCTTGATCTTACCTTTTTGGACACCTTGTACATCTAACAATACATACTTCTTTTTCTATTGCAGCATCGAGATCTCGTAGAGTTAATCCACAAACATTAGCTTCAATAGGTAAATCGATTGTACGAATAGGAATCTTTTTCCTACTTTTATCGTCGCCTTTATCATCTCCCTGAAACAGAAAGATTTGCAAAATATTTATTAACATATACTTGCAACACAGCATTTTTTACTATAATTAAAAAAAGTCGTTTACAAGAAAGTTTATTTGACCATATTTTTCAATTTCAATCAATTTCCAAAATTTATAATTTAACAAATAAGCATACCATGTATACATAAATATACTTACATAAATTGAGAAATATCATTTTTATATAAACACTTACCTTATTATAATACTTTCTTGAAACGCTTTCTTTTTTATTTTTAATATAATTTTACAACACTTTTATGTGTCTAATGTAAAAATGCTAAACCAAATAAATAAATTGTATAACAATAGAAACAAAAACTAAACTGGAATTCAGGTGACGACAAAGATGAGACAAGGATAATGGGGTATACACTTTCGTGTGTAGTTTTGAATCCGTATAGCATCTTATATAATAGAGATGGAATATAAAGTAAAGTTTTTAATCTACATATTCGTACATGTATAATGTACTAAATTGTTATTTTTTTCTCTATACGAATTGAAAACTGATCAGTGTTGCCTGCCTTTACACCTTACAAATATTTGCTCAATGTAATGTACGTCTATTAGGTTATCTATCACTGTCTCTTTTCCTTCTGCGACTCAGTGTATAGAGAATAGCAGAGTAGACAGACAGCACAGTTGGAACACAACTGTTCTTGGACCCATATGCATCGCAAAAAAAAAATTGTTAAAGATTGTTAAGAATTACATAACATCATCGGCTATTACATTTTGCGATGTTCCTTCATACTTTATAAAAGAAAAAACTAAAACTTTTTCTCCAAATTTTTATAGTGTCGCTATAGAATAGCCGAGTTTGCAGAAGAAATCGATACAGGTTTAAAAACTTGGATTTAAGCCGAAAGTCATGCATTTGATAAAACCGATTTACAAGCTTACTGCGATTATTCTAACGACCTACGATCTACTGCTTGTTATCTACTCACATCCTAATAAAAGGTAATATGCATGAAAAATGAAATTTCTAAATTCTAAGATATAAAATAATTGTATTATGAATTAAAGGTATCAAGGATATTTTAATAAATTTCCATAATTATTTGATGGAGAAAATAAGAAATGTGAGTTATTAAATAAAAAAAATTGTTGCTCAATAAAATCAATTGCTAAAAGAAAATAAAATATGCGAAGATGTTTAATGTTATCAAATTGATGACAAGTACACAGCTTGCGGCGTTATATAAGGTGATTATAATTATCGTGCGTTTACTATGTGTGATGTTACTATGAGAGTTACGTCAGATCGATTTCCGTTTCAAAATAAAGCGACAAAGTTAGCGTGATGGAAGGTAAATAATACACCTAAATAAATTGATCCTAAATGCTCGCAACAGCTCACAACAATGCAACGATTAAGAGCTTAGAAATTATCGCACACATATATCTCAATATAAATATGTATGCGTATGGGTCCAAGTAGAGATAGTATGCCCCGTACCGAGCTGAACCAAGAGAGAATCCTGGAGGAGTAGGAAGGGGCAGAACCCCCAGCACCTTTTCCACCATCATCAGCATCTGAGTTCCGTCGTGTCTTATCCATGCTCACCTAAACCACAATAAACTCACATAGTCATGCACCTGAACGCTGGTGATGTACAAGATCACACACCAGCATAGAACATGATTCCAAATTTTACATACTCCGTATAACGTAATATTTACTAATAAGTTACAATCGCGATACTCTATCCTAAGATATCGCTATCACTATTCCTTCTTTTACACAAACTTTAGAATATTACAGCGGAATTACAAACCTCTGGAGCTGGTGGTTCGTTGGCCTGTGCATCCTGATCAGATTTATCTTTTTTATCTGTCGCTTGCGACTCAACATCCATATTATTCTGTTGTGGTTGCTGCTGCTGCTGCTGCTGAGCCTCTTCCTCTTCCTTCTCTTGTTGCGTCGGCTCACGTTTTTCAATAAGCGAAGCCGACGCAATGGTTAAAATACCATTCAAATTCACTCTTACCTTTACCTTGACCTTTGCCGACTCACCCTCTGGTGTAGCCTTTATGTTTTTTATCGTGAACGTTCCTGTGTAAAATATAAGATACAAGAGAAGTGAGTAAAGTACATATGCCTCAATTCTAAATTCTAACGTTTAAACGTTTCCTTAAGAAATAAAAAAAAATTATTTTAAATGAGACAAGTAAAAGTAAATCCATTACCAATATATGACTGGGGATAACATGGAGGCAGCACACTGTAACTAGCTGTTAGCGTAAACGGACTCGAACGATAGAACGTCAACATTTTTGAGAACGGCACAGGATGATTATACCCGAATACTTCCATTTCGCTAAAAATTAAAGTTAGGAAAAGAACATTAAACTTTCAGACCAATGGTTAACAAATTCTTGATAAGCTTTGGCTCATAGCCATTATCTGTATTAAGTTTAATTTTAATTATCAAGGTTTAACTATAAAATATTTATTAAATTTTTAATTAAGGCGATTCTGGCAGATCGGAATACCGACGTTACAGTTATATGAATATCTCCGAATTGACTGAACGGAATTGAAAATTCTTTCATAGAATTGAAATAGACATGAAATGTAGTGATGAGATAAAGAAATTTGTAGTAATAAAAACGGAAACAAAGAAAGTTTTTAATATTTTTTTCATTTTTACTACGAATTCCTTCGTTCCACCACTACATTTCATATCTATTTCAATCCTGTAAAAGGATTTTCAATTCCGTTCAGTCAATTCGGAAATATTTATATAACTATAATGTATTCGGTAATTCCGACCTTCCAGCATCACCTTAAGTGGCAGACTAATGAAAATTATAATATACGTACCCTTCCTCGCCTTGGTTCGCATCCCATGTCAATTTCAAGGGATACGGCTGTAAATCCGTAACAGAAAATTCACGGACACGCACAGCAGGGCTGAGCATAGCGCACTGCAACGCGCAACCACGAGCAACTGCTTCGTCTTGATTCAGTGTCGTTGATATCGGTCGACCGAAAATTTCCTCTACTAAACGTTTGATAGCAGGGACGCGGCTCGATCCTCCTGCCAACTCGACCGCATGAATATCTTCTAGTTTCAATTCTAGTAAATTATATATCCTTATTAATACGAGACGGAGTACTACATAGTTTATTATGTACAGATTGCAGGCGAAGCAAATAAAAAATCTAGGTTCAATTCTCGAACTTTACCCATATATAATACTAGGAATTTTTAGTAGAAAAATATTTCACTATGATAGAAATACATAAATTTGATTTCAAGATAAACAAACTACAATATTATATTGTTCCTTGGAGAAAAAGCCTTTAAACAATAGTAATAAATAAACAATAATAATGGTGAAATCCAGATTCAAATCCTGGTTGAGGTGATATTTTCGTAATAAATTTCTTACATTGTTTTAAGATAATCATTAGCATTAATGTTATTAAATTGCTTGTTCAATTTAATTCGTAATGTTAACTCCAGCTTTAGCTTAAGTTTCAGTTTCACGACTAGTAAAGACAAATAATCAGTTTGTATTAAATGGAAAATGTACAAATTCACGCAAAAATATTATTAGGCATCAAGATCCGCTTTGATCCGGTTTTAATAAGTTTATTTCAATTTATTGTTAATAATAATAAATAAGTTTTAAAAAGTCTGATTCTCCAGAGTAGAAATTAGGCAAGAAATTTATATTTGTTTCCATAAAAATTGCAATTGTAACAAAGTGAATCTGGAGATTTTGCTCACCCAGGACACAATGAACATTAGTATGAGTGCAATGTAATCAGATTATTTACAGATCACATTAACTATTTGCAAACTTACTCGAATCTGACAAACATTGTTTAAGAGTTTTCTCAACACGTTCAAATAAATGAGCGCATAGTGCTTCCATATCGTTACGCTTCATATCAGCGTGTACATCCTTCTCGTCCATAAAACATTCAATATTTAAAGGAAGAGAGGTTGAATTAGCCGACATTTGTTTCTTCAGTTTCTCAGCTTCTGCTAATAATCTTAAGTACGCCCGCGGATTGGTATGCACGTCAATGTTGTATCGTGTTTTAAATTCATTGCAGAAGTGCTCTGTCAAAATAACGTCGATATCTCTTCCTCCCAATTGACTATCAGCGGTACTTGCCAACATCTTCAAATATAATAAAGGAAAAATGGTGTAATAGAGCGTTTCTCGAATTTGACATAACAATTTTAATCTTCTTGTAATCAATTTTGTAATACTGACCTTAAGTTTGCCTTTATGAAAGGCACAAACGCTCACTTGTAAAGAAGCGTTGCCACAATCCACAAAAACAATGTTTCTAGGAGGCGCCTCTGCCGCTGGCAAATCTTGCTTATAAATACCATAACAAAGAGCAGTAGCAGTGGTCTCATTAAATAATCTTAGAACATTAAGGCCTGCAATCCTAGCAGCATCAAGCAGAGCTTGACGTTCAGCTTGAGTAAAGTATGAAGGAACTGATATGACACAATCATTAACAGCAGTTTGTAGCGCTGTTTCAGAAATATCTTTCAATTTTGTGAAGAGCATAGCAGTAATTTGCTCCGGTGAAAAAACATGCTCTTCTCCCAGATATTGTACCTAAAATATGAATAAAGAAAAAAAGGTAAATACATTAAAATTATTTTTACTTTTTTTTTTTAGCAATGTAGAAATCGTGAAATATTATATAATTTTTGATTATGTATATTTATTTTCACGAAAAATATGAACAACATTAATGAATCATCATAGTATCCTTAAAAGATATAAATAAGATACGAGTCTCTTCAGAAATGAGAGTCCTGGCAAAATGCCTAAATTACTTTTGATTCTTAGTCATTGAATTACATGAAAAGAAAGCAATTGAAATACTAAACTAATTTCTGTTACATAAAAACGCTTTTGTAAGTACTTTTTTTCTTCTCGCAAACAAACGTATTTTATTTATAAAAACGCAAATTAAAGTTTTATGGTTATTTTGAATAACTTTATTTTCATGTTTTCCATTATGATTTACAAAGATATAATCTTTGTTGTTTTTACAAGTAACATTAAAAAATTTACAAAAAATCATCTCTTTTCCACACTTGGTAAGACACTTACATGTATACCAATGCTTCCATCAGCTTGCGAAGTTATTTTAAATGGAAGAAATCGCAACTCGCCTTGAACTTGTGGATCGTTATATTTTCTACCTAATAACCTTTTAAAACCATGAATGGTATTCCTTACATTGGTCACCATTTGGTTCTTAGCTGCCACTCCGAGTATTCGGTTTTTTCCACTAAACGCCACACACGATCTAAAAATCATAATATGATATTGTTACTTTAATAACATTTAAGTGCTTAGAATGTACAATACATATATCATTCAATTCACATAATTATTTTATATTTATGATTGTATTTCATATTTGTTTGATATTATAACATGACTAAATTATGTCAAAATTATAGAGTTAAACAAAATGTAATAATAATGCCAATATGAATCAACTAGATAATTGTGTGTACATAGCTTTATTGTCGTGTGTGTAGGTGGGTGCATGTGCGTGCACATATATGTAAAACCTCTTTAATTTTTGTCGTTACATTTCGATCAATTCCCATCACCTTTTTGAAATAGATACCTATATATATTTTGATCGTATTCTAATAAATCAAACATTTCATGACTATAACTTTTATGCATAGACTGCTTATTTTATTTTGGACAATCTAATAAATTTAACAATTGATTATGTACTCCACTTCATATTATTACGACAATTTTCACCAAAATTTTAAGAAAATGCCAATCTAGTTGACTAACTTTATATATGTATATATAATATATATATGTTTCTTTGGCTCAACCCATGTTTAGACATTGAAGATAAAAAGACATCGGAGAGAAATATTAAAGAATAAACTTTTGTTTGCTGTGTTATACATATCAATCATAATGTATGATTACATATAAATAATAACAAAATCAATGAATTTGACATTTTAAGTTTGACATTTGACATGTACAGTCGTGGATACATCGGTTGCGACACTTTTTTTTTATAGGTTTCTAATATATATTTAATATACATAATATATACTTTATAGATAACTAATATTTTGCAAATGCAAACCACAATGTACTATCTTTAGTCTAGAGACAGTATAAAC